CCAAGGCCCGCGCCTTCTGAGAAGCAGGGGTGCTTCTGAGAAGCCCTCCCCCCTCCCCCCACCCGCGTGGCATCGCCCCGAGACCCCCCAGCCGAGCGCGGGGCGGCGGCCGCGTCGGGGCCCCCGCCTGCAGCCAAGCCGACACCCGGGCGGGCAGCCGCAGCACGCGGGCGACGATCCGAAGCGGGCCCCATGCGCGAGAGGACGTGCCAGCGACCTTGCGCGGCGGCTTGCGCGGGCCGGGGGCGCGGCCTGCCACGTTGGAGACGAGGGCGCTTACGCTTAGGTCGTGCCTGCCCCCTGGGATTTTAGAGGGGAAATTCGAAAATGGCCCATGGATGCTCCAAACAAGTTCGAAAATTATAATAAAACAAATCGTCCCCAGGACTACTTTTGCACCATTTTTGAATGTTCCCCCCTGGTAGAGGGACAGGCCCGACTTCAGCTTACGCGCAGCCTTGAGCGAGCAGCTTGCGCGCGCCTGTCGGCGCAACCGACCCTGCGTTGCTCCGCCGCTCAAGCGGGGCCGCAGCCGGCGGGAGAGCTGCGCTGGCTCCGGGGGCCTCGTCGCCCCCTATCGGGCGGTCGTGTCCGCCACAGCGCCGTCGGTATAGCGCGGCCGTGGCTGAGGACTTGCCCCCTTCCTGGTGGGCTTGTTTTCCACCCGCCACCACCATAAGTTGGAGGGGGAGGGGGTCCTCCTCCTGCTTCCTCCTCCTCGCCCTCCTCCTCCTCATCCTCCACCTCCTTCCCCCCCATCCAACTTATGGTGGTGGTGGGTGGTCGTGGTAGTGGCGGAAAACAGGCCCATCAATTCCAGCTTGGAGGCTGTCTGGCTGGGACCCCCGACAAAATCCGTCAGGAGGGGGGATGAAGCCAAATTCGCTCAAAATCGATGCCCGGACCCCACCCGGGTCCATCTGATGCAGTTTTTCACCCAAGATCCGCTTCTCAGGCCCCACCAGGCTCGAACACGGCCTCAGGACGCAGAAGAAGACAAAACAAACACACTCCCCGAGCCCCGAAGCTCGCACCTGCCCGCCCCTCCTGCTGGCCAGAGCCACTGCTGGGGCACCTCCGGCCCCCAGTCGGGTGTTGCTAGAAGTGCCCCTGGGCCAAGGTGCCCCCAGGACTTTCCAGGTAGCCCACGAGGCCTCCAGAGCACCCCTCACGAAGCCCAAGCCAGGGGCTCCAAAATGGAGCGAGAAGCTGGGGGCACCCTTCGGGTCGGGCGAAAGGGGGGGATAGCAAAGGGGGGGGTTGAGAATCAGCTCGCGTAGCTGATTTTCCCGGCGCCTCCCGGCGCCGGAGGCGGCCATGTATCGAGGAATGGGCCCCTCGGTGAGGCCGAAACCAACTACATGCAGCAAATTTCGTAACCCCCCCTTTCCCAATCCCCCCCTTTCGCCCGGCCCGAGACATGTTCTTAGAACCCAGAAATATTCTAAGAACAAAAACGATGTTCTTGGAGCATAAACCCGATGTGTGAAAACAAGACAGTCCCGGCCAGACATGTCCTGAGAGCATCTCGTGGGAACCACAAAGAAGTGCTCAGAACATTGCTTGGTGGGGCTACAGGCGAGCCGGGGCGCTTCGCCACTGCTTGACGAAGGCCAGGCCCCGCGCGGAGGCGCCGCCCGCGCCACCGGCCCCGCGCGCTGCCCCCGCCGACGCCCGCCCGCGAACGCCCCGGGCCCGGCCGCGCGCCCTTGGCCACCGCCGGGCGCTCCGCCTCCGCCCACGACGACGCCGATCGACGACGACGACGACGACGACGACGACGACGACGACGACGACGACGACGACCACGACGACGACGACGACGACGACGACGACGCCGACGACGACGACGACGACGACCACGACGACGACGACGTCTTCGTCCTCGCCACCGCCGCCCTGCCCCACCCCGCCCCTCCCGCCCCCAGCCCGAAGGGCACCGACGTGCCCGCCGCACTCGGGAGCCCCGGGGCCGGGCGTGGCCGACCGCCCGACGCCCTGCAGCCCCTGCCCTCTTGCGGCCCAGCGCGCGGAAAAGACAGCCCCCTGCGCGCACCGGCGGCTTGCGCTCACCGGCGCCGCGCATGTGCGTGTCTCCGCGCCCTCGCGGTCTGCCCTTCTGGGGCGCGATCCCCGCGGCGACGCGGTCGCACGGACACAGTCACACCCGCACAGCAAGGAGGCGCGATGAGGAGGCAAGGGGCCTGGGACGCCCGCGGGGCGGGGCGCGGCCAGCGGGGCCAGCGGGGCGCGCGGCCAGCGAAAGCGGCGAAGGATGGACCGAGGAGGCAAGGATGCAAGGGGTACCCCTGGGAAGGTTGCCCATCTTGCCTGTGCGGGTTGGCTGTACGCTCCGCGCGGGGCATCCGCGAGGAAGCGCCCCGCATCTGCGGGGTCGCGGCCCAGGGGCCCAGCCAGGGCCGCGGATGCGGATGCGCCGTTCTACCAGGATGCGCGCGGGCAGGAAGGAGAGGGGGCGGGGGGAGCAGCACAGGCGGCGCCCATGGAACGGTTGGCGCGAAGGGAGGGGGGTCTTCGTCCAGGGGGGGGGGCGGGGCCTTCTGAGAAGGGCCTTCTGCGGCTTCCATCAGTCGGGCATGTCCTCCTACAGGCGGGTTCTGGGAGAAAGGTGCAATTACTCCGACGGCCGGACCCCGCATGAGAATCCTCCCGGCGAGTCTTGGAATAACCATCATCGTCGTCCTCGTGATTGCTGAGGCGCCCTTACCGTTTCCTCTGCGTCACTCTCCTCCTCGCCACGTGCACACTTACAGGGTTCCGATGGCCCGCTTCGGATTTCGAACATGAGCTGCGGGCCCCGTAGGGAGGGGGCTGCTGTCTGAGACTTTCCTGCAGATCACTCACAGACGAGGCTCCTGCCTGATACTTCCTCCAGATTCAAGCAGATTGCAAACATCAGCTGCGAGCCCCATAGGGAGGGGCTCCCGCCTGAGTCTTCCTTGCAATTCACTCATGAACGAGGCTCCCGCCTGAAACTTCCTCCAGACTCAGGCCCCAGGAGCCCAACAGTGACGACAACTATAAGGTTCCGATGACCCGCGTCGGATTTCGAACATGAGCTGCGGGCCCAATAGGGCGGAGGCTCCCGCCCGAGACTTACTCGCAATTCACTCACAGACGAGGCTCCTGCCTGATATTTCCTCCATATTCAGGCCTCAGGGGCCCAAAAGTGACGAGGGTTACACATTTTCCAACGACCCGCTCGGATTACAAACATGAGCTGCGGGCCCCATGGGCAAGGGGTTCCCGCCTGAGACTTCCTCGCAATTCGCTCACAGACGAAACTCCCACCTGATGCTTCCCCCATTGTCAGGCCTCGGGGGCCCACAAATGACGACAGTTAAAAGTTTTCCGATGACCCGCTCGGGTTACAACTATGAGCTGCGGGCCCCAGAGGAACGGGGGTTCCGCCTGAAACGTCCTCGCAATTCCCTCACAGACGGGGCTCCTGCCTGATACTTCCTGCATATTAAGGCCTCTGGGCCCAACAATGACGACAATGGCAAATTCTCAGATGAACCGCTTGGATTACAAACATGAGCTGCGGGCCCCATAGGGAGGGGGCTCCCGCCTGAGATCCCCTCGCAATTCACTCACGAACGAGGCTCCCGCCTGAAACTTCCTCCATATTCAGGCCTCAGGAGCCCAAACGTGTTGACAGTTTCAGGGTTCAGATTGCCCGCTCGGATTCCTATGAAGCGCGGGCCCCATAAGGAGGGGGCTCCCGCCTGAGACTTCCTTGGAATTCACTCACAGACAAAGCTCCCGCCCGAGACGACACACAGGCAAGTGATGATGATGAGGATGATGATGATGGTGATGATGATGCGGATTATGATGGCGTGAGTGATGATGAAGATGATGATGATGATGATGATGATGATGATGATGAGGATGATGAGGATGATGAGGATGAGGCAGGTGGTGATGATGGTGTGCGAATGATTGGGTGCGTGAGAGAGCCACTCAGGAGAAGTGAGCGAGCGAGTGGCAGAGTGTGTAAGTTATGCGTGAATGAAAGTGATCGAGTGAGGGTGCGATGGTGATGTGAGTGTGTGGGTGTGTATGTGAGAAGAGGCCAGAGAGAGACCTTCATCGCGGTCTCTCTCGCAGAGTGAACGAGTAAACTATGAATGAATGAGGGTGACCGAATGAGTGTGAGTGGGTGGACGGCGTTGATGATGCTGATGGGATAGTGGTAGTGATGATGATGACTAAGATGATGATTAATGATGATGACGATGACGATGGTGACGATGATGATGATCGGAGGAGTTGATGTGAAGAGGAGAGGGTGTGGGAGGACTGCGCGGGGTGTCCAGAGACAACAGAGCCCCACGTAGGGTGTGGTGGAACACAAAACAAACAAGACTCAAACACAGTCAATAAGAAATAGAAAAGTCGTCCCCAGATTATGCTTTGACAATTCCTGACGACTCCTCCCGTGGCAGGACACGCCGGGCTCTAGCTTCCAGGAAAAAGACTGCTCGGAAGCCGCGCGGGCTGCTCCGAGGGCCCGCCGCCCCCCTGGGGACAGCCGCCCCCCGCGCGCCACGCCCTCGCTCGGGAGCGGCCAAAGAGGGGGGTGTCCAAGAGAGGGGGGGGTGCAAAGCATGACCGGCGGCACGTGCGCGGCCCAGCGGGGGGGCCGGGGACGGAACGGGACAAGAAGAGGCGCCCTGAAGTCCGCGGACACATCATGGCCCCCGCCATGATCTCCCCCTCCCCCCTGGTCATCACCCTCCTCCTGGCCATCGCTCGGACGTCCATTCACTGGGCTTTTTCGGTTTCGTGCGTGGCTTTTTCGCCGAATGATCAAGGATGCTCTTCGATGGTCCTCGCCGAAAGAAAAATGCACACGTCCGAGCGATGCCAAGCCTCGTAGCCGCCCCCGACCTGTGGGGGCGCCGCCGCCCGCGGGGGTGCGGCCGGGAGCCGCTCCCCCCACGCGAGCGCCTCCCCCGGGCGACTCCGGGGGCTCAGAAGAAGACGCTCCTCGCCCTGTCGGCCGGCGTGCGGGGCTCGGGGGGGGCGCGGGAGGGGCGGGCGCAGAGGAGCCACCACAGGGGCCCCCAGCCGCAGGGCGAGGGCAGGAGGCAGTAGGATGAGGAGGAGGAGGAGATGAAGGAGGAGGAGGAGGAGGAGGAGGAGGAGGAGGAGGAAAGGCGACGCGCACGAGTGCAGGGAGGGGGGGGGTGCTAGAAGAGCGCGCTCCTCGCCCCTGCCGCGGGTGGGCCTGGCAGGCACAGGGGAGTCGCCACAGGGGCCTCCTGAGCAGGACGAAAAAGGGGAGGAGGCGCGGGGAGGCGGAGGGCAAGCACCTCGTCCTCCGCCTTCCAACCGTCGTAGTGATCCCCTCCTGTACGGTCAGGGCGTTTGGGACAGCGCGTCGCGGCGGCGGCCCTGGCGACACGCTGTGCCATGCCAGCGAATCCCGAGGGGCTTCGCTCCTTGGGGCGGGAAGCTCGGAGAGGCTCTAGACGTTGACGCTGTGGGGACTGGGAAGCGGAACGCGTGTCGCGCCGCACGGTGGGCCATAGAACCCGCAGAGCGACACGCGAAGCCAAGATTCCTGACCGTAGGAGGGCCTTAAGTATTTTACCTACACCGATCCTGGCAATGCTCATCACTGGCCATCGCTCGGACGTCCATTCCCTGTGTTTTTGTTTCGGTTTCGTGCGTGGCTTCTTCGCCAAACGTTCAAGGATGCTCCTCGATGGTCCTCGCCGAAGGAAAAGTGCACACGTGCGAGCGATGCCAAGATCATGAGACGTGCCTTGGACGTGCCGTTTACCGTCCCCCTGCCGTCCGCGCCCCGGCGCCCGCCTGGGGCTTGCTCTCGGCGCTGCGCGGCCCCGTCCGATGCAGAGTAGGGGCCACCTCACGACGAGAAGACTGTGGAAAAACCGTGGCGGCGGAATTGGCCATCGCCTCCGGCAATACTCCCGCTCTCAGGGGAACAAACACTGGCAGAAACTCATAAACTGTCAGAGGTCCACGCGGATTTCTCGGATCGGCGCTGGCCCCCCCTGGCGGCGCCTCCGGCGCCGCCCCTGGCGCGCTCCGCGCGCCACGGAAAGGGGCCCAGCGCCGATCCGAGAAATCGGCACGGGCCTCCGAAAGTTGATGTTGATGTAACTGTTTTCTTTCCTTAGCTCTGCTGCATCGTGGCCGATTCCCGCTTTACCCCCACCCGCCCGCTTCTTTGTCCCCCAGCTCCCAGAACCCATCCCCTTCGCCGCCCGTTCCCTCCTCCTCCTCCCCTCCTGCACTCCCCCCGCCCCCTCCCCTTCCAATACCCAGTTCCCCCCCCCCCCCGCCCACTCCCTCTGCCCCCTAGCCCTAGCTCCCTGAACCCCTCCCCTCCCCCGCCCCCGTCCCATCCTCCTCCTTTCGCCCTCTGCACTCCCATCCTCCTCTTCCTCCTCCTCCTCCTCCTCTTCCTCCTCCTCCTCCTCCTCCTCCTCCTCCTCCTCCTACTCGCCACGTCTCCCGCGCATCGTGCCCATCCTTCTCCTCCTCCTCGTGCTCCTCGTGCTCCTCGTCCTGCTCCTGCTCGTCATCCCTCTTCTTCTTCTTCCTCCTCCTCCTCCTCCTCCTCCTCCTCCTCGTCGCCTTTTCCTCCTTGCCTTTCTCCCCTCCACCCCCCTCTCCTTCCTTCCCTTCTCTCCGTCCCGCTCCGTACCCCGGCGCACCCTAGCTCGAGCGCGCCGAGCGCGCAGGGCGCGCCCATGACTGAGACGACTCGCCGCGCTGCTGCCGAGACCTCGTGCTGCTGCTGCCGCTGCTCCCTCCTTCTTTGCACCGGGTGCCCCTCCTGCTGCGGCTGACGCCTGCTTCCACTGCTCCCGCCACTCCTCCAGCGTGCCTCCCTCCCCGCAGTCTCCTGGCATGGAGGGGAGGGGCTCCTGGGCGAAAGAGCAGGCCCCGCCTCCCTGGGGCCTTCCCTGGGGGGGAGGGGGAACTCCTCAATTTCGCATGGGGGAACCGGGTCCTGAGGGAAACGGGCCCATGGACCCTGGAGCCTTCCCCCAGGACGGCATCTTCATTCCGAATCGTTTTCTGACAGTCCTGGGGCCCGCGGACGGCTCCGAGAGTCGGGAAACGGCAAAAAACAACTTGGGACCTAGTTCCCTCAGGATCCGCTTCCCCCCTTGCAAATCATCCTGGTGCCACGCATGTTGACGGCCCCTGCATGGGGGACGGGGTAAACAGCTCCAGGAGCCCGAAGACTCCCAAGAAGACCCCACGGCCCGCTTCCCTCAGCGGTCCGCCCGCATACCGGCGAACCCTCCCCAGACATCCAGAGTCTTGATCTTTCAATGCGGAGTTCCCGGAGGTCCCCGACTTTTTTGGGCGGCGCGCACAATGGGTGCAGGGGGGGTGTGGAAGGCTTCTCTGGGCGCAGGTGGTCTAGGGCGTTTCCTTTTCCAACCTCCTTCCTTTCCCTGCTTGGGAGGTTTGCCTACCCCCCCCTCCCTGCGTCTGGACGGGCTCCCCCGCGAGGTGTCGGAGGGCCCTCTTCGGCCCAAGATCACTCCAAGAGGGCCTCAGAGAGCGCAAGATGGTCTCCAAGATGGCCCAAGATAGCGGCAAATGGGTCAAGATAGCCTCCGACACACGTCCAAGAGGCCTCAAGACGGCCCCAAGACTGTTTCAAGTGCTGTCCGAGGCCTCCGAGGACCCCCAAGAGGCCAACATCCTTCAAATGCCGAAGGAAATCAATGTGGTTTGCCTTCTTGTTGTTTCGCCTCCGATGGGCTCTTGAGGCCTCAAGATGGCCCCCAAACGGCCCAAGATAGCCTAAAGAAGGGTCCTCGAAGGCCCCAAGACGGCCCAAGAGCGCTCCAAGAGCGGCCCAAGAGGGCCCCAAGGCGGCATTCTCGAGCCTCCGAGGGGGGGAAAAGGAATGAAAGACCCCCTTTTTTTTTAGCGAAAGGGTCCAAGACGGCCCCAAGAAGCCCCTCAGGCATCCCAGAAGAGTCCCAATAAGGCCCCCAGACCCCCCAAAAGAGCCCCAAGAGGGCCCCAACACGCCCCAAAAGAGCCCCAAGAAGGCCCTAAGAGGACCTCAGGATTGCCCCAAGAGAAAGCCCCAGGAGGCCCCAAGAGGGGCCCAAAAGAACACCAAGAGGGCCCCAAGATGCCTCCAAGTTTCGGAACGCACATGCGTTTACGCTACAAGTCAATGCAACAGCCATTGCGAGTCATCGAAACACGCCTCACCCCTCATCGAAACACCATCGTAGCTTGCACAAGTGCCCATCTTAAACTTCAATGCGGGAGGCTATGTGTGATGCTTGTGTTCTCGAAGACGGCTGCGCGACTGCATGCGTCCTGCCGCCCCTGATTCACCAACTCCCCTGCTGAGTGTTTCTTGATGGGCTGGTGGGGATAGTTTTTGTTGGTCAACAGGCTCGCGAGGCGGGTCAAAAACCGTCCGGACACTAGTCGGGCCGCGAGTAGGCAGCAGGAAAAGAAAGGCAAGCGAAGCGACCGAGCGGGCAGCCACTCAGAAGGAGAGCCAGAACCGTTACTCCCAAACCTGGTGGCGTTGGAAACCCCAGTGGCGACCAGCAAGTAAGCGCAGCCAAAATGGCGCGTTGGTGCGACCATAAACACGCAGAGGTCGATTGCGGATGTGAGTTAGGCAAACAGCACCGTCAGAGACGAATTACACCGACAGGCACACCCAGACGACATCCGTGAAGTAGGCGACAGAAATGCCAAAACATCGTGTCGGCGCAAGAGTGAAGAGGAGCAACCCCATCACCGACAAGACTGCACGGCAGTAAAACCTGTGGCCTGTCGAAAGCGAAAACCATGCAGGATAACGTCGGCCAGCGAGCGTACAGAGCCACACTTGCCGAACCCGAGGTCCAGGTACCGTAAGGTAGGCAGTGCAGCGAGAGACCCACTGGAACCTGGCTGGTGGGGATACTGTTTGTTGTCGCAACCGCAGGCGAGAGCGCCAGCGACGAGTCAGGTCCGAGCGGGTCGTGCAAGAGCCGAAGTACCTAACGCCGACGGGCCGGCGACCTCTGACAGCGCCTCGGCGGGCGGGCCGGCGCGAGGGGGGTGCAGGCTGCAGCTGCCAGAGATCTGGTCCAGGGGAGCGCACATGCGAATTAGCCAACCAAAGTTGGGGCGCAGCCAAAATGGCGCCAGGGTCGCACCAGGATGTGACCAGGGAGGCGGCCAGTCAGTACACTGCGACGACTGCCAGGGGTGCCCAACTTGGTCCAAACTGGTGCACTGGGTGGCGCCACCAAAGTCGCACACCAAATCCCCGGAGGGGAAAACTGATCCTGCGAACGTCCGGCCACGGAAGGCCCCAGGGACGGGCGAAATAGCCAGGGGTACGATGGATGTAATCGACACCATAAGCGCCTGAACCACCGTACCAGGTAATACCACGCGCACTCTCAAGCGAGAACCGACGACTGAGGGCTGCCCGAACCCGGGGAAATCCACGCCTCAGCACCGGAACGCGGGAGCAAGAGGACGCCGTGGGCGTCGCAACTCTGCTGGTGGGGATACTTTTTAGTCAGCGGCCGCAGGCGAGAGCGCCAGCGGCGAGTCCAGTCAGAGCGGGCCGCGCAAAGACGAGTTAACCTTCAGCGGTGGGCCGGAGCCCCACTGGTGGGGATACGCGAAGCGTTAAGATTTCAGTGCGGAGTTCCCGGAGGTCCCCGACATTTTTTGGCGGCGCGCACAATGGGTGTAGGGGAGGGGGGAAGGCTTCTAGTAGTGAGGCTGACTCTTCGGCGCGGGCCTGCCATCTGTAGATCAGGCCTGCTGAGAAGCAGGGGTGCCTTCCCCACTCCCCCTACCGTCCTCTGCGTGTGGCTGACCTTTCCCCACATGGCCCTGTCTCAGCACGCTTCGTTTTTGTTACCGGTCCCGGAGTCTGGCGAGGACCCCCCGTGGCCGAAAACTGACAAAAGCCTGCCGCCGTGTTTTTGCTAACGGCGCAGGCACGTCTGGATCCCTGCTCCCCAGGCTCCTCCTCCCTCTCCTCCTCCTCCTCCTCCTCCTCCTCCTCCTCCTCGTCCTCGTCCTCCTCCTCCTCCTCCTCCTCCTCCTCCTCGTCCTCGTCGTCGTCCTCCTCCTCCTCCTCGTCCTCCTCCTCCTCCTCCTCCTCCTCCTCCTCCTCCTCCTCCTCCTCCTCGCGCAGCAAAGGCCGCGCGGCAGCCGCCGCAGCCGGGGCCTGCGCTTCGGCGCGGCAACCTGCCCGTCCGAGGGGCCCTCGACGTCCACGAAGGTGTGCCGCACGAACGCGCGGATGCCTCGGCACTACACTTTGAGCAGGGACAGACCGTCCCGGCATTCCTATAGCCCTACCAAGAAATTTTCTTAGAACAAAAATAATGTTCTTAGAACATTAACCCGATGTGTTAAAGCAAGACAGTCCCAGCCAGAAATGCTCAAGCACATTTCGTGGAAACCGCAAAAGGTGCTTAGAACATTGCTTGCTAGGGCTATAAGCGAGCCAAGACGCTTCGCCACTGCTTGAGCACTGGCCGGGCAAGCCAGTCAGGCGGGTCGCGCCCGCCGCGCGGAGCGGCGTCAGAAGGCATCCCCTGCGAGGCCTCCGTGAGCGCTGGGAATGAGAAGTGGCTGTCACTGCAACAGATGCCACGAGGATGCGGGCCACCTGTCTACGGGCGAAGAGCGGTATAGAACAAAATGTCTCGCCCTCGGGGGCGCCCGTCCCGGGGCGGCTGGAAAGATTATACCCTAACTGTGGCACGTCAAGGTCATGGTATCAACCTGCCAACCGCCCTGGGGCAGCGCCCCCGTGACGGAAAAGTTTATGCTATACCGTTCTTCGCCCGCCTGTCCCCCTACAGGCGGATTTTGGGTGGGCAAAAACATAAAATTCCTCAAAAAGGCGTCAAAAGAGTAACCAATGCTCAAACATCGTCCCCTATACTATTTCTGGACTATCTTTGGATGTTCCTCCTGTAGAGAGACACGCCCGACTTCACGCTAAACCCTGTCGCTGCCGCTGGGCTCCGAGAGCGGCGCCGCCGCCGCCGGGCGCAGAGAGAGCAGCGGCCCCGCGTCTCCTCCCTCTCCCCTTCTGCCTCGCCGCTCGTTCCCCCCTCTGTGCTCGTGTCATCGTCGTCGTCGTCGTCGTCGTCGTCGTCGTCGTCGTCGTCGTCGTCGTCGTCGTCGTCGTCGTGGTCATCGTCGGCATCCTCCGCATCTTGTTGAGCATCGTTTCACCGATCCCCATTCCCACCAGCGTGGGCTGGGCCCCACGGGCCGATGTACCCCCCGAAGGGGGCATATAGGCTGCTCTCTTCGGGTCTCGAGGGGCGCATCCCCAACTGAGGTGGTGAAACGGCGGGGCTCGAGATGTGGATGGGGATGGGGGTGGGGATCGGTGAAACGACACTGACTTGTGGGCCGGCGCGGGGCTGTCCCTGCACAGACGCTCGGCTGCGCGGCGGATCTGACCCCTCTCGGCTGGGAAGCCCGCCCTCTTCTCTGAGCCCGCTGGAGGACGAGGCCACAGCGCCTCCCTCGCCTCCACTTTCCGGGGCTCTCAAGGGCATCTTCGCGTCACGCTTGGCACGATCTCGTGCGCCAGGTTACGTTGCTCCCATCGTACTGAAGGATCAATAATTTCGAGCACCCAGGAAAAGTATCGAAACAGTGTCGGACGAGTATCGCCTCACAAGGCCCGACACGGGAAAACCCGCCAGTTTCGGTATTTTCTTGGTGCTCGAAATTCTTTCTGGTGGCCAAGGCTAAAGTAGGTTGAAACATCATAAGCTCCAGGGTCGATGCTCACGCGGGAGGGCCTGCAGGATCTCCGCAGCGGCTCAGGGCGTGCAAGAATGGGATCTGCGAGCCAGGTTGGGCTCCAAGACCACGCTGGGTTCAGCGTGGAACTGAGCCAGATCAAGCAGGATCAGGCCAGAGTGCAGTCATCGTGCTACGGGGAAGATTCAGGAACGAAGGGCTCTGGCCACGGCGAGCCACGACCACGAATAGGCACCCCGACCCAGATTCGAGGAACAGCCCCAAACCAGAGACCCCTACTGAGCCCAAGGTGGCCGTTTTCCAGCGACTTGACCGCAGGCTGAAGTGGGACGGAGTTCGGCCGCGGATGCACGGTCGGACCTACGACGGAAGAACATACTTCAAGAACATGAGACCTTCCGCCGGCCCAAACGGAAGAACATCCGAGGGTACCCCCCCTCCATAATGCACAAGAACATCCAACGAGCACGGAGAAAATGTGGGCACCCTCCCCGCACCGACCTCGACCTTCGCCCGGCCGTAGGATGGAGTTCGACAGAAGATGCCGAGTGCGGATTGCACCGCGACGCCGCCGACGACGACGACGACGCCAACGCCGCCGACGCCGACGACGACGCCGACGCGGACGCCGACGCCGACGACGCCGACGACGACGCCAACGACGACGCCGACGCCGACGCCGACGCCGACGCCGACGCCGACGCCAACGATGACAACGACGACGCCGACGCCGACGACGACGACGACGACGCCGACGTCGACGCCGACGCCGATGCCGACGCCGACGACGACGCCGACGCCGACGCCGACGCCGAATCAAACCTCGCAGGAGTTGCAGCCGAGACGACGGTGGCCGCGGGCGGTCGGAGGGCCCGAGCCAAGGGAGGAGGGGGAGGAGGAGGAGGAGGAGGAGGAGGAGGAGGAGGAGGAGGACGAGGAGGAGGAGGAGGAGGAGGAGGAGGAGGAGGAGAGGAGGAGGAGGAGGAGGAGGAGGAGGAGGAGGAGGAGGAGGGGTGATGAGCAGTGAAAGAACCCCTAATCCTTTAGGCAAAGGTTTTCCCCGATGTCTCAGTTTGCGATGCTCCAGTCCACGGCGCCCGGGGCCCCCCCAGACGGGGGCGCAGCCGAACGTGGAGGAGCGGCGTGCCCCGTGCCCCGGTCGGCTGCGCCCCCCTCTCTGGCGCCTGGACTCGCGCCGTGCAGCCAAAGGCCGGGCGGGGGCGGGGACCACGGGGAGGAGAGAGAACGCGAAGGAGGGGGAGGAGGACGAGAAGGAGACAGAGGAGACAGGAGGAGGAGGAGGAGGAGGAGGAGGAGGAGGAGGACGAGGAGGAGGAGGAGGAGGAGGAGGAGGAGGAGGAGAGGAGGAGGAGGAGGGGGAGGGGGAGAGGAGGAGGAGAGAAGAGGAGGAGGAGGAGGAGAGAGAAAGGAGGAGGAGGAGGAGGAGGAGGAGGAGCAGGAGGAACAGGCTGCCCTCCTCCTGCTGCGCCCTTCGCCCTCCTCTTTGCTGACCTGCCGATGCTGGTGCTGATGCAGGAGGAACAGGCTGCCCTCCTCCTGCTGCGCCCTTCGCCCTCCTCTTCGCTGTCCTGCCGATGCTGATGCTGCTGCTGCTGCTGCTGCGCTGCTACTCCCCATCCCCTCCCAACTGCCCCGCACCCAGCCGTTTTCCCTTCCATGAGATCCGACGTCGCCACAAAAAAAAGCGACTCGAGCAAGCACGCCTGGGCCCCGGCCGGCATTCCTCGAACCCGTTGTCGAGGGCTCTGGAACGGGTTTGCCCTCGTCGCAGCCCCGTCCGAACCTCCCCCCCTGCCATTGCACGGTGCGGACGCGGCGGGGGCGAGCCAGACGATCACACATCAATGGGCTCCGGCACGGCGCGCCTGAGGCCACCGGCTGCCGGGCCTGCTGCGCGCTCCCCTCGTCGGCGTCGCCCGCCCTGGCGCCGAGAAGGGCCGAGGGGGCGAGGAGTAGCCCCTCCTCCTCCTCCTCCTCCTCCTCCTCCTCCTCCTCCTCCTCCTCCTCCTCCTCCCCCTCCTCCTCCTCCCCCTCCTCCCCCTCCTCCTCCTCCTCCTCCTCCTCCTCCTCCTCTCCTCCTCCTCCCTCCTCCTCCTCCTTCCTCCTCCTCCTCCTCCTCCTCCTCCTCCTCATCCTCCTCCCCCTCCCCCTCCCCCTGATCTCCGGCCCCCCTCCGCGTAATGTTTTGCACACGCAGGATTCCCGGGGAAACGGGTTTTCGCTGTTTTTTTTCAACATGTTCCTCCCGCTGGGGCGCTGGCCTCCTTTTCGGGCTCCCGCTCGTTCCGAATCGCGTTCCCGCTTCAGCGCTGCCTCATTTCCGCGTTTGCGGTCGTTCCGGATCGCGCACCCGCTACAGCGCTGGCCTTCCTTCCAAATAGGCCCCAACATCTAGGAAATACCCCCCCGAAAAAACCATCGGAAGTGATTCCACATTCGGTGCCGATTCGTTGATTTTTTGGGCGTCGTCGCTTTCAGGAAGTATCAAGCGGGAGCCCGGTTTCTGCTTTGAGAAGGTGATGTTGAAAGCAGAGCCAGCGGGTGCTCTCCATCAGCCCCGCCTTATGTGGAGCCTTTTGGGGGGCCAAGGAGCTAGACATGGAGCCACGACTCCAGACTGGCCTAGACCTCTCGAAGACGACCCGTTACCTTCCAAAGAATCTGACGCCATGCCATGACATGCTGTGCGGTGTTGTGTTCTGCGCCGCTGTGCGACGCCATGCTTTGCGTTGCATTGCTTTGTGATGCAATGCTTCACTGCGAAATTCCACGCCATGCTATGGCATGCTACGCTTTGCCGTGCTCTTCTAAGCCATGCCATGCCGTGCTCTACCATGCATCGCGCTCTCTTTCGCGATCATTGCCCTGCTTGACATCCGACTGTGCGAATAGAGAGGGTATCTACGCCATGAGAAGGGATGGGATGGAGGGGTAGGACGTCAGATATGACGCGAACGCACCTAGCTTGTCATCCTCCCCCTCCCCCTCTTCCTCCTCCACCTCCTCCTCCTCCTCCTCCTCCTCCTCCTCCTCCTCCTCCTCCTCCTCCTCCTCCTCCCCCCCAAACCCTCCTCCTCCTCCTCCTCCTCCTCCTCCTCCTCCTCCTCTTCCTCCTCCTCCTCCTCCTAATTTTCCTTCCTCCATCCTCCGTCTTCCTCCCTCCACCTCCTGCATGTTTCCCAGAGCAACGCGGATGAGGGCAGCGCGCTCATCTCTTATGCGTGGCAAGAATACCACGAAGACCATATTACCTTTGGTGTTTCACCGTCTCTAGGTCAGGATAAGGAAGTCACCTGTCTTTTGTGTCCAAGTTCTTACGAACTGCAACGACACCGTTGGTGATCGTTGCGAACGCGGCGGCGATCTCCTTCGCCAGAAACCGCAGCGCCCAGGAGCCTATCGCACAGGCGCTGTGGTCGTCCTGCACCGCCACGTCACTTCAAATACATATGATGCCGATCAAAGCAAAGGTCAAATTATGCAAAATCATGCTGCGAACATGTTTGAAAGAACGCATTTCGTGGATCCTTGCGTGAAACAAATCTCTCGACACGTCGAAACCGCCCCCCGTAAAGATTTGGCACGCCCAGAGATAACCCGCCCCACCCCAGGACACAGGATTGTCTGACCGCCCCCTCCAACACCCCGTCTGAAGGGGGGGGGGGAGAATGGGGGTTCGAACTGGCTCCCCCCGACGACGCGGCAAACCAGCGAACTTGTGCCGAACAACTTCCCGAACAAGTGAAAAGAATACGTCTTCGAATTTTTGGTCGCGAGCAAAAACCACGAAGATGTGCCGAACAAATCCCTGAACAAATGAATCACAAATCTCTGAAGTTTTTCACCGCGGATGAACCCGCGAACGTGTGCCAAACAACATCCCGAACAAGTGACAAACGACAAATGCTTGTGTTGTCCGATGGAACCCCAGAACACCAGTGACCCCCCGAACATCTGGAAACTTAACAGACCAGCGAACGAATTGAAAGACAATGTCAAGCAACAAGCACACTGCAACCGACTCCCGCCAGATTCCGATGTTTGCTTAACACTAAGATGCAACATAATTAAACGGCTGGCCGTCCGTAGTGGGGAGGCCAATCGAGCAAACACAACTGTCTGAAAGTATAACCGTTCCACTTCATCATAAACACCGCTCTTCGACGAACTATTCCTCTAAGCCGCTGCTACATTGAAAACTGATGGACTCGTTCTCCTTACATCGGATTTGTTTTCTACGACCACAATAGAACAACGCACAATGACCTCGCCATGCAAACATACATTCTTAGCACGCACGGTCTGAATTAACGCGCCCACGAACGCCATGGCAAGACCCACGCAACGCAACGCACGGAACACAGCATTGCAATATCGATATCCAAGCAACGCCGGAGGCGGAGATAAGAGCGCACACCGCTGCTTAAAGAAATCTTGCTGCACGAGCACTTCAGATCATCTGGATAAGTAACATGAAACTAACTGTTGAGCATCATCTTCGTGCCCGCATTGACTGCTAAACCAAGTTGCGTGGTTTATACTGCTATGCGGAACTTGCGGCGGGATGGATCGAACGACCACTTTCGTGTTTCGCTTAACAATGTAAGGACAACGCTGCAGAGGACAAACATGCATGATTAAAACAACAATGCACACTTAGGACAACAATGCACGATTGGGGACAACAGTGCATAATTAGGACAACAATGCACACAACGGGAACAACGAACACACTTTAGGACAACAGTGAACTTTTCCCAAAGGAAGGTTCGAACCCCCTTTCCATTTACCTAATAGAGCGCTGAAATGCTCGATCAATATCTAATGTAAATATACTATAGCTGGGACCAGCTGTAATTGAATTCGACCGAGGCGCTGTCCAACATTATTATTCGCAATTCTACGAACTCTCTCCTCTTCCTCCTTCTCTTCCTCCTCCTTCTCCTCCAGGTAGAAGGAATAGGAGCGGAGTTTGTATCGCAGTCCGAGTTTTGACGGCAGCGTTGGGGGCAGGTTTGGCGCGATCGCCCTCGTGCCCCCATCAGTGAGGGGGTTAACGGGAGGGCGAGGAAGTGGCCGAAGAGGGGGAGGAGCAGGAGGTGGAGGACGGCAGTCGTCCTTCTATCGCCCTCCTCCGGAGCCCTCCCTTCATCGCTCCCTCCCTTCCCCCCTTTCTCCTCCTGCCTCTGTCACCCCCCACCCCTGCCCCATCCCTGCTCCTGCCACTCCCCTCCTCTCCCCTCATCTCTTCCGTTTCCTTCTCTCCCTCCTCTGCTTATCTCCTCTTCCTCCTCCTCCTCCTCTTCCTCCTCCTCCTCCTCCTCTTCCTCCTCCTCCTCCTCCTCCTCCTCCTCCTCCTCCTCCTGCTCCTCCTCTTCCTCCTCCTCCTCCTCGGCGCTTGCGGCGGCTGGTTCGAAGCCTGGGAAACCTGGGGCCCGTGTGCATGCCTCTCTGGAGACGAATACGACGGGGCAGCGTGATGTTGGCTTTGCTGAGCTTGGTCGCCGATTGGGGCGTCAAGGGCCTTACATTTTCTGTGCGAAGTGTGGGGCGTCCTGTTCCCGGCTGAAGCCTCTGTCGAAAGCACGCTGCAGGGATAGGCTGGAGAAGGGCCCGAGGGAGGCCCTCGACAACGTCCCTGCCAGAACGCACCCGGAGACTGGGAAATTATTCTAGTTCTTGTGCCCCGAGACCTGGCCCAATTTTAACCCAAATTCTGGGCTTGAGAGGTGGGCCCGAAGGGTTGCGCCGGAGGCCTTTTTCTGATCAGAGCGCTGGCGGGCAACTAGCTGACGCCTCTATGCCTGGAGACCTGGAACCCTCCTCCTCCTCCTCCTCCTCCTCCTCCTCCACCTCCTCCTCCATCTCTCCCCTCGCTTCCCTCCTCGTCGGCAAATTTCGACATGGTCGTGGTAGGACAGACAGGGAAGGCGAGGAGAACGAGGAGGCGGACGGAGGCAGCGCGCCACGCCCGACGGCATTGCAGGGGCGGGGGAGTGGACTGCGAACCACCGCGGTCTTCGCACGCGACATTGCCCCTCAAGTGGGTGCGACGGAGGAGGCGTGGAAGGGACGTGGAGGAGGCAACGGACGCAACACTCCGAAAAAGAACAGGACGAGCACAGATGGCTCAGATGGCCAAGACCAGGAAGAGATCACATCATGCTGAAGGGACGTGGAGGAGGAGAGGCAGGACGCAGTACGACGAGGGGAAGGCAACACCAACACTGGTCTCCCAAAGGGCTGGGCAGTTGCCAGGCCGCTTCCCGCCCGATCAGCGCCGTCTTGAAGGACCACCTTGAGGGGAGATCGTCCTCTGGGCCGATGCGGCCACCACAACGATCGGCAACCTCCTACTCCTCCTCCTCATTCCCCCTCCGCTCCTCCCTCTCCTCCTCATCACACTATGTTCAGAGTGAGGGGGCCGAAAGGCCATTCATTGTCCCTGGGTGCGTGGCTCTAGTGGGGGTCCGAGGTGAGGATTCTGCTTGCTGCGTTGTTGTTGTTGTTGAACATTATTAATTCTAAAGAATAATTATTGTTGGGACCCCTGGTGCACGGCCCCCCTGCGCCGCCTAGGCCGCAGCTACATTTTCATCATTTTCGTGAGGAAGCCTCAGGTAATACGATGTCATCAAGATCCGGTTGTTTTGTTGTAATCCGTTTTCCCTTGCAAAAAACACTATAAAATGACATTTCTTGTTCTAATATAATCAAATTTCAAGAATCCCTTGCAAAAAATAAGGTAAAGTGGACATTCGCGCGCGCAAGACGAAATCCTTCCAAAAGCTTAGTGTTCGGAGCGATTTTAACATAAAAACATCAAAAAACCAATGGTTTTTCAAAAAAAAATGTCAAAATCTCATCCCGCGCGCTCTTGCGGATTCGTAGGAAACCCAACACTTTTTAAACATTTCTGTCAAACGGGCTTTTGCGAGCAACTTTTTCGAACTTCTGCAACAACGGTTGCGCACCTGCCAGGGCCATCATCCCTGTCAAATAATACCATGCGGGACACATTCGTTTTTTCTTCGCGCGCGCACGCCGTCGTCGTCGGCCGCGGGGCCCTGAATAGTAGCCACGGTCGTCCGCATGCCACGAAGTGAAGTGTCCGAACGTCATAGGGCGGGAAGCTGGGTGTGGGTGGTGGCGAAGAGTCGTTTGGAAATTTGGTAGAGCTTGAACCGGCCCCCCCACAAAGTGGGGGTATTGGCTGGCGTCGCATAAAAACCCTGGCACTGGTGAGAACACTGAGCGTTCGGGTAAAGTGATTGTTGTTGTTGTTGCTGTTGCTGTTGCTGTTGCTGTTGCTGTTGCTGTGTGTTGTCGTCGTCCCCCCTGCGACCCACCCCGCGACCCACCCGCGACCCAGCCCGCGACCCAGCCCGCGTCCCAGCCCGCGACCCAGCCCGCGACCCACCCTGCGACCAACCCCGCGACCCACCCCGCGACCAACCCGCGACCCACCTCGCGATCCACCCACATTGCTTTAACGAAACAATCGGCGCCTGCGGCGGGCTCAATGCAGAATTAAAAAAAAACTGTGGCGCCTGCGGCGGGCTTTTTCAGAGCCTCGCAGGCTGACGACGTCCACGCCGCCCCCTCACTCTTATCCGCAACTGCGGGGTGCTACGTATCGTCTACATCGCACGAGCTCCCCTTCCCCTTCCTCCTCCCGAGCGGAGCCCGTTTCGGGGCCGCCTCTTCTGAAAGACCATCCAATTCCACTCGGCCGAGCCGTCCCGCAAGATGCTGGGAAACCTCGCGCGGATGGAGCCATGAGGGAGGGCAGCCAGCATGGTGGCGAAAGGCGGAGAGGAGGCCCCTCCCTCCCGCCACCCTCCAGTCCGCTTCCGCCCCGTCCTCGCTGGCTCCGTCCCCCAAGCCATCCTCGCTCCCCGCTGCGCCTGCTTCGCCCCCTCCCGCGTTCCTACTGCGCCCTGCATCCCTCCCCTGCGCCCCCCCTCGCCCCCCTGCACCATGGACACGTTGCCCAAGCAGTGCTTGCACTTAAGGGCTCTTGCGGGGGATTCTCAAACAATTGGCCGGTCGGACGACGAGGAGGGAGGAGGAGGGAGGAGGAGGAGGAGGAGGAGGAGGAGGAGGAGGAGGAGGAGGAGGAGGAGGAGGAGGAGGAGGAGGAGGAGGAGAGGAGGAGGAGGAGGAGGAGGAGGAGGGAGGAGGAGGAGGAGGAGGAGGAGGAGGAGGAGGAGGAGGAGGAGGAGGAGGAGGACGAGGGAGGAGGAGGGTGGTGCCGGCCCGTGGGCGCCTCGTGGGCCCCATGGGCTTGCAGGCTGTGCCGCCGAGTTTGGCCAGGTGCCCGCCCTTGGGCCCCTCGTGGGCGAAGCCGCGCCACTGGCCATCGCTCGGACGTCCATTCCCTGTGTTTTTTCGGTTTCGTGCGTGGTCGTTTCGCCAAATGATCAAGGATGCTCCTCGATGGTCCTCGCCGAAGAAAAAATGTACACGTCCGAGCGATGCCAAGGCCAAGGGGGTCCACAGCGGAGGCCCGTCCACAAGAGGCCTTCCACAGGAAACCCAGCCCTGAGACCCCCAGGACGCCCATCGATTTCTGGCGCGGGGCCGCCACGCCTTCCGCCGCAACACCATCGAAGCCGAAGAAGCTCAGGGCACCCTGGAGGCAAGCAGGGCGTTTCTTGGCATGGGCCCCAACTGCACGCCGAGGTTTCGCCTGGTGCCCGCCCGTCATGGGGCGCCGCCTGGTCGTCACGAGACCCATCGGTCGGAAGAAGCCGGTAGAAACCTGAAAAAATAAGTCGTTGGAAGTAGGTTGGGTTCCGTCCGCCCCCTTTGGAGGACGGAAGAAGCGAAGCCACTCGATCCTTGAAGTAGGAAGGCGCTCAAAGTAGATTGGAATCCGGGAATCCCAAAATACCTGCTGTCAACGACCGATGGGTAGCTTGCACCACGCAGATTCAATCTTTGCACAAGATAGCGTCCTCCACATAGTATGCACCACGTAGCGTGCACCACATTCGGGAGCGGCAAAGAGGGGGGGGTCCAAGAGGGGGGGTGCAAATCATGACCGGCGGCATGTGCGCGGCCCAGCGGGGGGGCCAGGGACGTAATGAAATAAGACAGGGCGCCATGAAATCTGGGGAAACAGCATGGCCCGCGCCATGAGATCCCCCCCCCCCCTGGTCATCACCCCCTCTTTGCCGCCCCCGACACATAGCCTGCCCTACATGGCTTGCAGCACATGGCTTGCACCAACTGGCCGGGACCTCACAGCTTACACCGAGTGGTTGCACCGCGCAGCCTGCGCGTCCACGGCGCCACAGCCTGCTACTCTCGGGGCCTACGCTGGCCAACACACGAGAGGGAACCTGGCCACGAGAAATCGTGGGGCACGGTACGTGTCGATCTCTGCTGGTCCTGCCCTGCCCCAGAGCTCCTGGGGCTCCTGCGGGCTCCTGGAGCCAACGGGGGACGAGAAGCTTCCGTGGGTCACCTGCTGCCCATCCCATGTCTTCCCTGCAGTGCCCACTGTAATGCGGGATGACGGTTAATAAAAACATGGGAGAGAACGATTTAAAACATAGTTCTCTGCTATCTCTGCACACTTGTCTGACTGGGAGGAGAACGATTCAAACATAGTTTTCCAGCCCGCGGCCGGTTTTTTCTGATCGTCATCCCGGGCGCCGCCGCGTGAACACGACCCCCGGTCGTTTATTAATCGTCATCCTCCATTACCTCACCTCCGCTGGCTGCCGCGTCCGCGCGGTCGGGCCCGCACCTCCGCGGGAGGCCGCAGCTTGGCGAACGCCGGCGCCCGCTGCGCTCCCGAACCCGCGTGCCCGCGCCCGTGCGGCGGCGTGGGACGGAAGGGCGGTGGTGTACAGTCGGGGCGTTGACCTAAGGAACGATAAATAAGGAACGAGGCCCCTTCTTTCCTTAAGTTTAACCTCGATTTCCATTCGAACACCGAAGGTCAAACTAAGGCAAACAGTCAAACAACCAAGGAACACGGAACCCTAAACAAGGAACGAGGCCCCTCTTTTCCATAAGTTGAACTTCGATTTCCCATGCAAAAGCCCAAGGGAAACCCGAGGCAAACTGTACAACAATCAAGGAGCACCGAGCCCCTCCCCAACGAAAAGCGTTCCTTCTTCAAGGCCCCGACTGTATGCGCTGGCGGGGCCCGGGCCACGCGGGGGAGGCTCGAGTCGGGCGTGTCCCCCTACAGGGGGATCCTGGACGACAAACGAAAAATACCCCAAACATGCTCCCAAATGGTCCAAGAAAGACTGACAAAAAATAGCCCCCTGGCCATTTTTTGACGATTTCTGGATCTTCCTCCTGCAGAGGGACGGGCCCGATTTTTAAGGGGAGGAGCGAGGAGCGAGGAGCGCCAAGGAGGGGTACGCCGAGCTGCCGGTTCCGGCCAGCTGTGGGGGCCGAGCAGCGGTCGGCGGAGGACGAAGCAGCGAGCACTCGCTGGGCATTTTAGCCTGCGCAGCCTCCCCCTCCTCCTCCTCCTCCTCCTCCTCCTCCTCCCCCTCCTCCTCCTCCTCCCCCCCCTCCTCCTCCCCCTCCTCCTCCCCCTCCTCCTCCTCCTCCTCCCCCCCCTTCTCCTCCCCCTCCAGCGAGAGAAGTCGCAGGCTCAGCACGGGTCCAGAGGAGCGAGGTGGAGGAGAGGAAATGCGGAGGGAAGAGGAGGAGGAGGAGGAGGCCAAGACGGAGTACAGGAACACGCCGATGGGCGAGGATGCAGCAGGAGGCAGGATCAGGAGGGGACGACGAATGAGGCAGGAGCCTCTCATCATGGGTCATGGAGGCACCCCGGGAGGCCGAAGACGGCGACAGAACCGCCAACGCCCGCGCCCATCCGGACCTCTGGAAACCCTGACTTGCAGACCTCCTAGATGGGGTCGGAGTGGATGGGGTCGGAGGGTCGCGCCGCATCGGCGATACATCGGCGATGCCATCGGCGATGCATCGGCGACGTCCGCGTGAAAAAATCGGGCTCCGCATCGAGCCGCAACGGCGATGCATCGGCGATGCGGCGCGATCCTTCAACCCCATCTACTCTGAAGTCGGGCCTGTCCTCCTACAGGGTGGTTCTGGACGAAACATAAAACATAGACAAAACATACCCCGAAATGGTCAAAATATGCTCAACAATTTGTCCCACGACTATTTGTTCTTTAAACATGTTCTGGGGTCGGAAAAACGGAGTTTTTGCTTGGCACAAATCCGCCCGCGCTGGTAACGACCCCGCGGCTGGCCGCGGGGGCAACCTCGCTCGGCTGGTCGGCCGCGCGCTGGCCGACCCGCTGCCGCCTCCTGCTCGCGTCCTGTGGTGCGGTGCCGTGCCGTGCTTTCTCCGCCTGGTACTGGGGCGGGATAGAAATACCGTGCCGTGTGTCGGGTTTCGGCCCTCCGCCCGCTGGGGCTTCGTTCGGCCCATGGTGGCTTCGTTGCGGCCCACAGCGGCCTGCTGCGTTCACTTGCCAAATGAAGCCCTCTCGTCAGGTCATAGTGACCACGTGCTGCCGTTGGCCCGCCCAACCCGCCCTGGGGGTGGGGAGGGGGGTGGTGCTCCCCCACGGGCCCGACCGGCGTCTGCCCGCTTGGCCTCGGAGAGGCCGCGCGCTGCGGGGCAGATGGGTCGGGGTCGCACCCTCCGCTCCTGGGGGAGGCTTCCTCCTCCCCCCCCCCCAGGGGCCGCGCGAGGCGAGCGCAAGCGCCAGGATTTGTGAACACTCCTCCTGTGGAGGGACAGGCCCGACTGCAATTCACTCGGACCGTATCAAGGAGGCCTGGATGACTCCATACATGCTGACGCCTCGCCTCTGCTCCCGCCGCCTTCAGCCGAGGGCGAGGAGGCGCCGAGGGCGAGGGCCTCCCTGGAGCGAGGCGGAGGGACCAGAGAAGGGGCACACGAGAGTGTTCTGCCCCAGGCCGCTCCAGGGCCAGCCGACTCAGGTGGCCCGCCATGGGGAAGTCCCTGGACGCTCCGGGAGCCTCCCAGGAAGGCCCCGAAACGAATCATATCCCTGTCCTGGCCCCGACCGGCCGTCCCTCGCTCCCTCTTGCCTCCTCCCCAGTCTTGTGGGTGCCATGACAACGGACGCTCTAACCGTTCTACCATTGGGTCAAACATGTCGTTCCAATGTCTTCTGCATGCTTGAAGCACGTTCGAAACATGTCGCAAACATGTTTATGCACTTTGGATACAGATTATGAACCGGCTTTTTGAGCAGGGACCGACCGTCCCGGCATTCCTATAGTCATACCACGGAATGTCCTTAGAACCCAAAAATGTTCTAAGAACAGAAAAATGGTCTTAGAACATAAACCCGATGTGATAAAACAAGGCAGACTCCGCCAGAAATATTCTAAGAACATTTCGTGCGAACCACAAAAGGTTCTTAGAACAGTGCTTGGTGGGGCTATAGGCGAGCCAGGACGCTTCGCCGCTGCTTGAGGCTTTAGACATCTGGAAATGATCTGGCACCATGCCTCCGCTCCATCGATCGCCGTCCCTGGCCCCAGGCCGGCCTCCTTCTGCCCCCCCCCGCTCTGCGTGCTCCCACGTCCCCCGCTTCGCGAGCAGCGAGCACGCCCTTGGCCTCACGTCGGGCACGTCCCCCCCTACAGGGGGGACTTTGGGGCGAAGAATTCGAAAGATACCCCCAAGATATACCAAAATGGCAACACAAGTGCTAACAAAAATAGCCCCCAGACTAAATTGTGGGGGGAGGAGGAGTAACGCAGCGCTCCTCCTCCTCTTCCTCCTCCTGCTCCTCTTCCCCCTCCTCCTCCTCCTCCTCCTCCTCCTCCTCGTCCTCCTCCTCCTCCTCCTCCTCCTCCTCCTCCTCCTCCTCCTCCTCCTCCTCCTGTAGGGGGACAGGCCCGACGTAACCTCAGCCGCGCCCCCTGTGGCCCGAACTGCGGGGCGCGCTCCCGCGGAGGGTGCGCGCGGTCGCCCGGCCACGCCCCGCAGAGCCGCGAACAGCAGCGCCCCGTGCCCCCCGGGGTCGTGGCCCGGGGGGCCCTGCCCGCGAGGCCGCGAGGCCGCGGATGCCCACCTCCACCTCCTCCTCCTCCTCTCCTCCTCCCCTCCTCCTCCTCCCTCCCTCCTCCTCCTCCTCCCCCGCCTCCTCCTCCTCTCTCCTTCACCTCCTCTTCCTCCCTCCTCCTCCTCCTCCTCCTTCACCTCCTCCTCCTCCTCTCCTCCTACCCCTCCTCCTCCTCCTCCTCCTCCTCTCCTCCTCCTCCTCCCACCACCTCCTCCTCCTCTCCCTCCTCCTCACCACCACCTCCTCCTCCTCACCACCTCCTCCTCGTCCTCCGCCTCCGCCTCCGCCTCCTCCTCCTCCTCCTCCTCCTCCTCCTCCTCCTCCTCCTCCTCTTCCTCCTCCTCCTCCGTCGCTCGCACACCCCTCCCACGCGCACTCTTTTCTCGGGGCGATCCCGGATGCCCCGAGATGGCCCAGACGATCTGGCGCTGGCATCGCCGACCACAGCAAGGCACGCGGCCGAGCGATGCCGCGATGCCGAGGATGCGCGCGACCCACCGAGCGATGCCAAGGACAGCAAGGGGAGAGGTCTGATTTCGGGGGTGGGGGGGGGTCCGATTGGAGCTGTCTCGGAGAGCTCCAGGGGGGTCTGGGCAGCAGGCCGCCACTTCGTGGCCGGGGCAGACGGCCGCACTTTCGTGGCTGGTGTGGGGAGGGTCAGGAGCTGCTCGTCCAGGGTGCTCGTGAATCCCGCCAGATTCTTGCGATGCTTGGGATCTGCATTTCGCCCACGACCGCTGCCCCGCAGCTTCCCGATGGCGCGGCGCGGCGCGGGGCGGGCGGAGCCAGTTCGACCACAGGGCGCCGTAGCTGGGCCCCCCGCCGCTGGGCGCGGCCCACTGCCGGGCAAGGGAAGGGGAGGCCGGGAGGGGGGGGGGAGGCAGCAGCGGCAGCTCGGCGGTCGGGGCAAGGCCAGCCTGCAGCAGCAGAGAAGTGCGCGTGCGTGTGTGTTTCTTGGATTTGCGTGTGTTTTTGTTTTGGATCTGTGCTCGGAAATTCTGACCCCTGAGCCGCCGCCGCCGCACCAATCCTGATTTTCCTTCGGCCGCGTCCCTCTTCCCTCCTCCTCCTGCATGGTGGCACAATTCGGCCCAACGGTACTCCCGTTCATGCCATTCATCGCCAGCGCAGTCACCCTCTGCCTAGCCGCCGACGGAAAAACAAATGTTTTTGGATCTGCGCCCGTCGCTGGACCTGTGGTTCATCCAGAAGCGCCTCTGGGAGCCCAGTCCCTGGGGGGAAGTGAAAAGGAGAAGGCCTTCTCAGCAGGTTCGGAAGTCCCCCGGATCTCCTGAGAAGTGCTCCCAAGCCTTCCCCGAAAACAAAAAAAACTACTCAGAAGGCGCGAGGGCTTCTGAGGAGTCCGCCGCTTTGTGAGAAAAGGCCTTCTTCTTCTCACTTGCCCCCCTCGCTCGTTGCCGAACTTGGTCTTTGGGTCATGACTCGGGTCTCCGGCGGGCGTTCGGGACGATCCGGGCACCCCCGGAACGCCCGCGGCGAAGCGCAGCTGCTGGCAAACAGCCCGAGCCTGGAAAACCGCCGAGAGCGGACGAGAACGCCCAAGAACCTCGAACCTCGAGCCCGAAACTTCCCCCCCTCGCTCGCCGCGGACTTCCCCCAGGGTCCGTCCCGAGTCGTCTCGTGGACGGCCCCGGGGCTCGGCGAGGGCCCCCGGGAGGCCGAGACCAGTCTCGACACAGCCTGCCGCCCTGACTCGTTCTCGCGGCGCGAGCATGTCTGGGCCCTTTCCTCTCTCTTCTTCCTCGAGCCCTCCCACCAGGAGGAGGCAGTGGGAGGAGGAAGGTGAGGAGGGAGAAGAAGAGGAGACCTGTCGCGGTTATGGGTACGACCATGGGTGAACACCAATCTTCTTCATCGAGCCTCCCCCCAGGAGTAGGAAGTGGAAAGACGATGAGGAGGAGGAGGAGGAGGAGGAGGAGGAGGAGGAGGAGGAGGAGGAGGAGGAGGAGGAGACCTGCTGCGGTTATGGGTACGACCAGGGGTGAAAACCAAGCTTTTGCATCGAGCCTCCCCCCAGGAGGAGGAAGTGGGAAGAGGAGGAGGAGGAGGAGGAGGAGGAGGAGGAGGAGGAGGAGGAGGAGGAGACCTGCTGCGGTTATGGGTACGACCGGGGGTGAAAGCCAAGCTGCTTCATCGAGCCTCCCCCCAGGAGGAGGAAGTGGGAAGAGGAGGAGGAGGAAGAGAAAGAGGAGGTGGAGGAGGAGAAGGAGGAGGAGACCGGCTGCGGTTATGGGTACAACCGGGGGTGAAAACCAATCTTCTTCATCGAGCCTCCCCCCAGGAGGAGGAACTGGGAAGAGGAGGAGGAGGAGGAGGAGGAGGAAAAGAAGGAGAAGGTGGAGGAGGAGGAGGAGGAGGAGGAGGAGACCTGCTGCGGTTATGGGTACGACCAGGGGTGAAAATAAATCGTTCCCTCGGATGATCAGATAAGGAGGAGGAAGAGGAGACCTGCTGCGGTTATGAGTACGACCAGGGTGAACATACATCTTTCCCTTGGTTGATCAAAACCGTTCAGTTGAGAGCGCACCTGGTACCTCGGAAGACAAAGTGATTCAACCACCAATCAAGCCTGACCCCGATAGGTCTTTAGAACATCCCCAATCGTTGATGGAACGTCCCCGAAGATCATCTTTTCGGCGACATGATTGATGGACTGGGGCCCCACCTTTTATGGAAAATAACTATTTCTCCGCGGCACCCGCCGCGCGACGACGACGAAGACGACGTCGACAAAGACGACGACGACGACGACGGCGACGACGACGACGGGCGACGACCACGATACGACTTACGGATAGGGAGGAGCAGGGAGAAGAGGAGGAAGAAGAGGGGGAAAAGGAGGAGGAGGAGCAGGAAGAGGAGGAGGAGGAGGAGGAGGAGGAGGAGGAGGAGGAGTTCAGGAGTTCAGGAGTTCCAGGACGAAGTCCATGCATCTCTCATGGGGACCCCTTATGGGCCCCAGCCTTACACATGAGCTCTGCCTTGCTAAAGACCTTAGGGAATAGCCCCCGCTCAAGACGATTCAAATACTCGGCACGGGTGAGGGTGACCTGATTCGTGCACCCCTTCCCCAGGCCCAAAAGCTGCTTATCCCCATACATACCACAACACGCGCAGAACCAAATATTCAGGGTCTGATGCAACCGCATGGTGTGGGAGGGGTCGACCCACCCCCCAGCAATGTGTACTCTCGCCCCCCCAGGAAGCCCACAAAACATGTCATCCAACATCACAGGGTTGAAACAACTGGACTGCCTCCAGGCTCGAGGAGGAGGAGGAGGAGGAGGAGGAGGAGGAGGAGGAGAAGGAGGAGGAGGAGGAGGAGGAGGAGGAGGAGGAGGAGGAGGAGGAGGAGGAGGCGGAGTTGATTCCCCGCCCGCAGACAAAGGGTAGGGGACCCAAAACTAAAGACCTCCTCGGGCTACCTCCAGGCATTCTGATTTCAGGGCAACGCTTCTCAAGGCTCCCGAGGACGAGGAGGAGAAAGAGGAGGAGGAGGAGGAGGAGGAGGAGGAGGAGAAGGAGGAGGAGGAGGAGGAGGAAGAGGAGGAGAAGGAAGAACAGCAGGAGAAGGAGGGGGAAGATGCGGAGGAGGAGGAGAGGAGGAGGAGGCTTTCCCTCCTCTCTACAGCTGCATCCCCCTCCCCCCCTCGCCTCGACCACGCCCTGCGCCTCGCTCGCCGGGCTGACTGGCGCCGCCGGGGACCCAGACGCGGCGGCCTCTGTCGCCTGCGCCGCGCCGCGCGGCGGGTCCAATTGATGGGCCTGTTTTACACCACCACCACCACGATATGTTGGAGGGGGGGGTCCTCCTTCTCCTCCTCCTCCTCCTCCTCCTCCTCCTCCTCCTCCTCCTCCTCCTCCTCTCTCCTCCTCCTCCGCCTCCTCCTCCTCCTCCTCCTCGTCCTCCTCCTCCTCCTCTTCGTTCTCCTCCTCGTCGTCCTCCTCCTTCCCCCCTCCGGCTTCTGGTGATGGTGGTGGTGGTGGAAAACAGGCCCATCACCAATCCCTCGCCCTCCCATCCTCGACTTCGGCTGCGCCGTACGTTGGACGGTGTTGTAGGTAGCGCGTGGATCGCCGACCCACTTGTCAGGCTGCTTGGACGTCGATCCATTTCCGCACTGCTGCGCCGCCGATGTCTCCGCCCTGCTTTTGTGGGGGTGTCCGCCCTACTCTTCTGATGCGGAAGATGTCCGCCCCATTTTCCCGCATCGTTTGGGTTACATGTTCGACGCGATGCTGTCGGAAAGTCGACCAACGTAAGGCAGGTCCGAAGTCAGGGCTGCACTCCAGGGGCCAGGGGCAAAGAAAGCTAGGGGGGATAGTGATGAGGAAACTCCTGGAGGTCTCAATCGGTAACTTGTACATCAGATCCACGTCGCATTTACGTCGGGATCTCGTCGGGTTACGTCTGGCTTGCGTCTGATCAACATACAAAAAAATAGTGTCGGACTTGCGTCGGAACATCCAAGCTCGAGCGTCGTCCCCAATCCGACGGGGCGGACGTGCGCACTGCGTCATGCAGCTTCTGCGCGCCGCGCGAGGCCTCCAGCATGTTCCCCACAGCTCCAAGTGTCGTGGGCAAAGTTTCGAGGTTTCGAGGCTCGAAGTTTCGAGGTTCGAAGTTTCGAGGTTCGAGGCTTCGGGTGCTCAAGGGGGAAGCTCGAGGTTTCGAGGTTTCGGGTGCTCCAGGGGGGAGCTTCGAGGCTCGAGGTGCCGAAGTCTCGAGGCTCGAGGCTCCGAAGCTTCGAGGTTTCGAAGTTCCGAGCTCCAAGGGGGGAGCGTCGAAGCCTCGAGGCTCGAGGCTCGAAGGGGCTCTCGTCGCTACACCCGGCGGCCCTGCGGCCTCGGGGGATGCCTTCCGGCAGCCGCTCTCCCCGCCGGAGGGCGCTCTGTGGAGGGGGGGGGTGCCCCCCGGGCTCCCGCCGCGGGAGCCCGGCGCCGACCCGCGAGCCATGGGGGGGGCAGCGTTCGGGGGCGGGCGGGGCTCTCAAGGGAGGGCGCGCCTCGCCCCCGAGCCTCGGCGGCGGACGAATGTTTCTGTCGCAAGCGGCCCGTTTGAGGAGCACGGCCTGGGGCAGAAGCCAGCGGACCGGGACCTGCAACACATGACGGCCGCGACGCCCGCGAACATCGGCGGTGGACGAGCCTCTCTTCAGCAGACCACCCATTTGAGGAACACGGCCTGGGGCAGAAGCCAGCGGACCAGGACCTGCAAACATGACGGCCGCGACGCCCTCTCGCGAACCGAGAGCCAGGGGGGCAACGTCGGGGGGGGGGGCCGGGCTCAGGGGAGGGCGCGCCTCGCCCCCGAACCTCGGCGGTGCACGAGCCTCTCTGTCGCAAACGGCCCTTTCATGAAGACGGCCTTGGCTCGAGGTTTCGATGTTTCGAGGTTCGAGGTTTCGAAGCTTCGAGGTTCGAGGTTTCGAGGTTCGAGCTCCAGGGGGGATCATCGCGCCGCCCCCGGACCTCGGCGGTGCACGAGCCTCTCTTTCGCAAACGGCCCCTTCAATCAGCGAGCGAAGAACGGTATAAAAATTAACTTTCTCGCTGTCGGGGGCGCCTGTCCCTCGGCGGCTGGAGAGTTTATACCCCTACGGTGCCACCGTAAGGGTATAAACTTTCCAGCCGCCCTGGGACAGGCGCATCCGACAGCGAAAAAGTTTATTTCATACCGTTCTTCGCCCGTTAATTCAATGAACACGGCCTCGGGCATACACAAACGGACCAGGACCTGCAACAATGACGGCCGCGACGCCTTCTCGCGAACCGAAAACAGCCAATTCGCTTAATGACGCGCCGGGGTAGGAGGCCTATCAACCTCCGAGAATAGCCCTGGCATCCCCGATAGGAGGCCGCCAGGCCAACCCGCCCGAGACACATACGGATTTGCCATCGGGGACCTGCCGACGATCTATTGGCCGTGTAACGCCGAGCCTAATTCGACGCTTCCCATCCTGAGCTGACTACCTACCAGACCACCCCAACCCAACTCGAAGACCCGAATTTCGGGTTGGGGGGGGGGTACGGGACTTCATTTGTTTACCATGTTCCCCGACCCCCCCCCAACTGGAGATGGAGGGCACATTGAGGCCTTCGGGTTGAGTTGGGGTGGGTTGGTGGGTGCTGATGAGCTGGTCACCCCCTTGTCCCTTCCTTCCCTCTGTCCTTTCCTCCCCTGCCCTAGGGTCTGCACGAAATGCGCGTTGTGGGTTAGAAGAGAATGCCCCCAACGGGACACAATCGAAGACGAGGAGGGCGGGCATCGAAGGTCTAGGACAACGTGTTGGGTGGCACGCGAACAGATGAGAACGAACAAATCTTCAGTTAGTGTTGTTGATCAGAAAGAGGGGGCTGAACCGAACGGTCATTCACTGTCCCTGGGTGCGTGGCTGAAGTGGAATTCCGCGATGCGGATTCTTACTGCCGTTATTATTGTCGTTGTCGTTGTTGTTGTTGCTGTTGATGCTGTTGTAGCTGTTGCTGTTGCTGTTGCTGTTGCTGTTGCTGTTGCTGTTGCTGTTGCTGTTGCTGTTGTTGTTGGTGTTGTTGTTGTTGTTGTGGTTGTCGGTGTCGTTGTCGTTATCGTTGTTGTTGATTGTTAATTGTTGTTTGTTGTTTGTTGTCTGTTGTGTGTTGCTTGTTGTTAGGTGTTTGGCGTTTAATGTTTGGTGTTTGTTGTTTGTTGTTTGTTGTTTGTTGTTGTCGTCATCCCACCCGCGACCCGCCCCGCGACCCACCCGCGACCCACCCCGCGACCCACCCGCGACCCACCCGCGACCCAACCCGCGACTCACCCCGCGACCCACCCGCGACCCCCCGTGACCCACCCACGACCCACCCGCGACCCACCCGCGACACACCGCGACCCACCCGCGACCCACCCGCGACCCACCCCGCGACCCACCCAAAATGTTTGGCGCCTGCGGCGGGTTTCTTTTGCATTCGTTCCAGGTGGAGAACCTGCGACCCACCCGCGACCCAAACCGCGCCCGCGACCCACCCGCGACACACCGCGACCCACCCGCGACCCACCCGCGACCCACCCCGCGACCCACCCAAAATGTTTGGCGCCTGCGGCGGGCTTCTTTTGCATTCGTTCCAGGTGGAGAACCTGCGACCCACCCGCGACCCAAACCGCGTTCAGTGCACAAATCAAAATGTTCAGGGCCTGCGGCGGGCTGTTTTTGAATTCCTTCCAGGTGGAGAACCTGCGACCCAAACCGCGTTCAGTGCACAAATCAAAATGTTCGGCGCCTGCGGCGAGCTGTTTTTCTTGAATTCCTTCCAGGTGGAGGTGGAGAGCCCGCGACCCACCCGCGAGCCAAACTACGTTCACTGAACAAACCAAAAATTCGTCGCCTGCGGCGGTCCGCCGGCTCGACGCCCGCGTCGTCCGCGCCCGCCCCCTGACTCTTATCCGCAATTGCGGGGTGCCACGTATTATTATTGTTGGTTGGGTGGTTGGTCGGTCGGTCGGTCGGTTGGTGTTGTCCTTGTCCCATTTGCGATCCAACCGCCAACCGCGACCCGCCCACGACCCACCCGCGACCCACCCGCAACCCAGCCGCGACCCATCCGCGACCCACCCGCGACCCATCCGCGACACAGCCGCGACTCAGCCGCGACCCACCCGCGACCCACCCGCGACCCAACCGCGACCCACCCCCGACCAACCCGAGACCCACCCACGACTCACCCGCCGACCCATCCGCGACCCACTTGCGAACCATCCTGCTCCCGCTACCTCACTCTTATCCGCATTTGCGGGGTGCTAGATATCATGGCCCCAGCCATGCTATCCCCCCCCGTAATTCCCACCCCTGCTTAAACATCCTCCGAGATGATTTGTTTAATCCGTGGCCCAGAACTCCCGACCCGCTCTCAGGGGATAGTTCTTTTCTCGGGCGGGTGGTAATGGGGAGTTACTTGTAAAAAGCCCCTAACGGGGCCCTGTTAACATTTTTTTGGAGCCAGCACAAACCCAGCAGGGCTCCTTTGGGACCCTTTTCTTCACTCCGTGTTAAGGCCACCCCCCATTGCCACCCGCTGGATCTTTCCGGGACCATTATTTATATGCTAGGGCTTGGCGACGGGCCCCGGAGGCAGACATCAAGGACACATGTGTTTAGGTCCGCGGGCGCGAAGTGGTCCCAAACAGACAGGCGCTGGTCAGCAAGCGGTGGGGTGCACCAGGAGCGAACTGAGGCACGAGAGTGATAAAGAACAGATCGCAAGGGGGGGGAGAGAGAGGAGCCCGCTCAGACCATGAAGGCCGCCGGGGGGATGCCGCAGAAGAAATTGCGTGCGAGCTGCGAACCAGCGACGGAGGCCGAGGCCAGCTTGACGTGGAAGGCCTTGAAGAGGCACAGGGCGCCGAGAGGAGTGGCCGCGGGAGGCAAGGTCGAGGAAGCGCGCCTGATTCGGGGAGCGTGCGCACGAGCCCCGGCCAGTGCAACCCTGGCACTGCAGGATGCTGCAGGGCCCGGCGCTCTGACTGACCCCCGTTCCCAGACATCCGACGTCTTGATTTTTTCAAGACGGGCTCCCTGGAAGCCCCGACCCTCTCCCCGGGACAGGTTCTTCGTCCTGAGCCGTTGTTTGACGGTCCCGGTGCCCGGCGAGGGCCCCCAGAGGCCGAAAACTCGGCAACACCTCCGTCCTGATTTTTTTCCAGTACGCTGGAGCTCTGGGTTTGCACTGACCCGCCTCGAGGCCCACGCCTGCTTGAGCAAGTCGTGCCGCCGGTGATCTGCGCCTCTCGTGAGGCCGCCCCCGAGCTGCCCCCGCCCGGCCCGGCCGGCGACCTGCATGGTCGACGGGCCCCCCCCTCGGCCTTGGTGGCGCCGACTCCGCGGGGCGCAGCTCGACAGGACGACCGGCGGCGTCCGTCCCCCGTCCTCCTGTGCAAGACGAAGGCAGACTCGAGGCAAAATCGAGCAGGTAGCTGTACATATCTACGGATAGATGAATCGATATATCTATATATATATATATATACACATATAATCAACGTATATAATCGGAGGCCTCTGAGACGGCGCCGCGGCCGTTTCAGAGCGTTTCGGAACGCTCTGAGAGCGTTCTGGGACGCTCTGGAGAGGATCCCCACCAGCCCTCTGGGCGTCGGTGGTTTAGGGCGTCTCCTCTTCCACCCCTCCTTCTTCCCTTTCGCGGAAGGGTTTACCCCTCCCCCTACCCCCTCGCCTGGACCTGGAGGGGGGAGGGTCGCGAGGTGTCAGTGCGTCCAAAACGGCCCCGGCGAGGAAGCCCAAATCATTGGTTATACTAAGGTTTGGGCCCTATTTTGGGACGCTAGTTGTGACCCCCCCTCTTGTCTGATCGATCTCCTCCAAGATGGCCCCAAGAAGCGCCCAGGAGGCCCCAAGAGGTCCAGGGCGCTTGCAAACAAAAAATACCCCCCACCCCTCTTGCGCGTGGCCGACTCCTCCTCCGTCGCCTCCGCCTCCTCAGCCTCAGCGCGTCGTCCTTCTCCTTCTGCCCCCCCTCCGGCCGGGCCAACCCAGGCCCACCCTTCCGACTCCTCCCCCCCTTCCGGGAGGAGGAGGAGGAGGAGGAGGAGGAGGAGGAGGAGGAGGAGGAGGAGGAGGAGGAGGAGGAGGAGGAGGAGGAGGAGGAGGAGAGGAACGACTCTCGGCCTTCTGCCCCCCCCTCCGGCCGGGCCAACCCAGGCCCACCCTTACCGACTCCTCCCCCCTTCCGGAGGAGGAGGAGGAGGAGGAGGAGGAGGAGGAGGAGGAGGAGGAGGAGGAGGAGGAGCAGGAGAGGGGATGAGGAGGAGGAGGAGGACGGAGGAGGAGGAGGAGGAGGAGAAGAGGAGGAGGAGGAGGAGGAGGAGGAGGAGGAGGAGGAGGAGAGGAGGAGGAGGAGGAGGAGGAGGAGGAAGGAGGAGGAGGAGGAGGAGAGGAAAGAGGAGGAGGAGAAGGAGGAGGAGGAGGAGGAGGAACGACTCCTCGGCCTCCTGCCCCCCCCTCCGGCCGGGCCAACCCAGGCCCACCCCTCCCCCCGGCGCGCCTCCTCGGCCTCGGCGGCGTCCTCCTCGTCCTCGTCCTCCTCTCGGCCCGCCTCGGCGGGCTGCCGCGCACCCGCGGCGCCCCTGTGGATGGGGGGGGCGACAGCCAAAGTACGAGGAATCGCTTCGGCAGATGCCTTACGAAGATTGGTATCGAAAAGTCTTGCACGCCAGGAGAGAGAGAGAGAGAGAGAGAGAGAGAGAGAGATCTGCGGGAGGAGACAGACCCCCTCGCGCCGTGAACTCACAACGGGAGGGTACTTCGCAGTGCTCGGTCTCTCGGGGCCCTCGCCAGGCCTCGGGGCCGCCGAAAAACGACCACAGATGAGAAACCAGTCTCGGGGAATGTCGGGGGCGCGCAAACATGGATTGGCGATCCATGGATTCGGCGCGCAGTCGCCAAATCCATGGATCGGGGGAGATGCCCTCCCCGAAATGCGGCCGGTGCCGCCTCGCTCGGCGGCGGAAATCCGCGATTTCCCATGGAAACGGGGCCCGTCGCTAATCCACGCCCCCTTGATCCATGTTTGCGATCGCCTGAGAATGGGTCGAGACCTCTGGGGGTCAAAATGTAGGCGGATAAGATATAGCAAAAACTGCACTTGAAACTTTTGTGTTGCTTCGTGTAGGGAAACGAACTCTATACACCGACGCTTGTTCCGGCCCTGCACCGCAATTCGCCAAGGAACGCGGATCCTGGTGTATACGGGACCCTGGTGAATACATGTTTCGCTGGTCCCTGGGACGCGGAACAAGACGTATACACCACACCGCCCCGACGTCGTCCCCAACCCTCAGAAGAGTCCAAGGAGTGAGAAACAGCCCGTCGCTGGCAATGTACAGTCGGGGCGTTGACCTAAGGAACCCTAAATAAGGAACGAGGCCCCTTTTTCCCATAAGTTCAACCTCGATTTCCCACGGGAAACCTCAGGAAAACCCGAGGCAAACTTTGAAACAATCAAGGAACACCGAGCCCCTCCCCAACGAGAAGGGTTCCTTCCTCAAGACCCCTACTGTATACGTCCCAGTTCCCGATCGTGCCCCAGCGCCCCCGCCCCAGGGTGTGCCAGGAGCGGCGCGCCCGGCGGCACCGGCCACGAGGGAGCACGCCCCCGAGGCTGCCGGCCTTGCCACGGAGGCCCTGCCTCGCGTGCAGGGGATGATGATGATGATGATGATGATGATGATGATGATGAGGATGAGGATGATGACGATGATGATGATGCTGATGATGACGATGATGCTGCTGATGATGATGCTGCTGCTGATGATGATGAGGAGGAGGAGGAGGAAAAGGAGTAGGAGGAGGAGGAGGAGGAGGAGGAGGAGGAGGAGGAGGAGGAGGAGGAGGAGTAGAAGGAGAAGGAGGAGGAGGAGGAGGGAAGGGGCGTAGCTGCAAACGAAAGAGAGGAGGAGGCGCAGGACATCGGACTGAAAGAGGAGGCGGAGGAGGAGGAGGAGGAGAAGGAGGAGGAGGAGGAGGCCACGGGAGAGGCCGCGAGGCAGCCCCCCGAGGTTGCAGAGGATGGGGCAATCTCGTGCTCCGAGGGGGGCATCGTCTGGTTTCCCGAGCTGGCCTTAGAGCGCTCGGCAGCGACAACCAGCCGCGTCGCCGCGCCTCCTCCTGACTCCTTCTTTCTTTTCCTCCTCCTCCTCCTCCTCCTCCTCCTCCTCCTCCTCTACTTCGCAAGCTCCCCATATTGTAACGGGCGTGCGGCAAGCAAATACCGCCGCGTCTGCCTCTTCCTCTTCCTGCTCCTGGTCTTCCTCCCCTGATTTCTGGCGAGGGAGCCTCTTGCTCCTCCTTTCCCTGCTCCTGCTCCTCCTCTTCACTCTCCTGCTCCTCCTCTTTCCTCTCTTCTAGCTCACCCAACACGTTCTCCTCCTCCTCCGTCCGCCTTCTCTTCACCCTCCTCCTCTTCCTTATCAGCTTCCTTCCTCCTCTTCCACCTCCGCATCACCTGTCCACCCCCTCCTGATCTTCCCCATGTCGGTCTACATCCTCTCCCTCTCCCTCGCTTCCTCTCTCTCTCTCTCTCTTTCTGTCTCTCTCTCTCTCTCTCTCTCTCTTTCTCTCTCTGACTCACTCAATCACTCTTCCACAACGCGCATGCCACTCATGATGCTCCTGCTCCCATCTCTCCCTTCCCCTCTGCTGCTGCCGCGAGCTTCCCCATCCCTTCGCCTCGCTCTCCTGAACCCACCCGCTGCCCTCCCGGGAGTGCGGCTGTATGCCAACAGCACTGGCGCAACGTGGCCCCCTCGGCGGCGACGACAAGGGCGCCCAGCCCATAGGGGCGGGCACCACACGCCTTCGCCCCGGGAGCCTCGCCGCAGGCATGGACCCTATCGGCGGCGCCCCTGGATGCATGCATTGCTCCCCCCTGGGCTGTTCGACCCCCTCGTCGCCTGCGAGCCGTCTTCCCCCCCCTTTTCCGTCCCCCCCTCCCGTGCCAGCGACCAGAACCACATACCAGTCTGGTATGTGGTTGTGGTCGTCCGTACCCCCCCCTCCCTTTTTGCCCCCGGCGCGGACCGCAGAACCTGCGGCGGCGACCCGGCGACGCCCGCCGGCGACGCACCACGGGGCGCGCAGCAGCGCGGGCGGAAACCGCGCCGGGGGCCGGGGCGCTCTCGCCGGGGGCGCGGGCCCCCCGAGGTCGTGCGAGAGGGGTCGGAGGCCCAGTATTACTACTACTACTACTACTACTACTACTACTACTACTACTACTACTACTACTACTACTACTACTACTACTACTACTACTACTACTACTACTACTACTACTACTACTACTACTACTACTACTACTACTACTACTACTACTACTACTACTACTACTACTACTACTACTACTACTACTACTACTACTACTACTACTACTACTACTACTACTACTACTACTACTACTACTACTACTACTACTATACTACTACCACTACTACTACCATTTCCACTACGCTTCTCGTCCTCGTTTTCCTCCTCCTCCTCCTTCTCCTCCCACCAATCCTGCCCTCCCCGGCCTGTGGCCCAGAGGTCGACACCAACGCCGGCATCGGCGCTGTGCCTCCACGTGTGGCGGCGCGCACAAAGGGGGTGGAGGGGGGGGGGGGGGGGGCTTCTCAGAAGGCGCCCGGCCTGACATCTGTAGATGAGGCGCCGCGCCTTCTGAGAGGCTGGGGTGCTTCTGAGAGGCCCTCCTCCCTCCCCCCACCCCCCTCTGCGCGTGGCTGGTTTACCGAGGGAAGATGATCCCGATCTCGGTGATGGTGGTAATGCTCGGGCTTCCAAGGTGGCCGAAAGATGACCACCAGCACCAGAATCTGGGACCACCTTCCCCTGGTGGAGGCAACCCTCGGTGTTGGTGTTGGTGCCCCGGTGTAAGCCTCCGAATTTGGGTGGGTCTTTTTGGCAGCTCATTCTAACATACAGTCGGGGCGATGACCTAAGGAACCCTAAACAGGGAACGAGGCCCCTTTTTTTTCCAGACGCTTGACTTCGGTTTCCGATCGAGAACACAGGTGACACCTGAGGCAAGCTGTGAAACACTTAAGGAACGCGGAGCCCATCCCCAACGAAAAGGGCTCCTTCTTCAGGGCCCCGACGGTACACCGCCGCGGTTCGGGGGCCTTTCGTTGCCCCTCAGCGGCCTGTCGTGTGTTGCCGGCGGCCGTTGGTGGCCTTCAGTCGCCCTTTTGGTCGCGTTTGGCAGCCTTCCGCGGCCTCTAGCAGCCTTTAGTGGCCTAGAGCGGACTTCAGTAGCCTCTGCAAAAATGCGCTCAAGTGCATTATATGTATGTTAGAATGGCCTTCCAAAAGGATCTTCTTTGGGACCCAAACCCCCAACGCCATGATCTTCTCACAACGTGACCCCCGCAGACCTCGCCCCATTCCCCCGGGACCAGCTCTATGTCCTCGGTCGACCGCTGATGGTCCCAAGGCCCTGCGAGGGCCGAAAAAGGCAGAGCAGATACCAACACTGTCCACCGTGCTCTTCCACGACACGAGGGGGCCTGGCGTGGAGGACGAGAGGACGGAGGGGGGGGGGGCGACGAGGGGCCATCTCTCTGCCGCCTCAGCCGCCCACGGCCGCCCGCGCGAACACGTCCTTCAGGATGCTCGGCAGCCTCTCCACGTCCAGGCAGACGTACCCCCGCCCGGCCGGCAGCGCGGCGGACAGCATGTCGGCGGCGCCCCGCTCCGCGATGAAGATCGCGCAGGCAGTGACCTTCTCCTCCTCCTCCTCCTCCTCCTCCTCCTCCTCCTCCTCCTTTCTCCTCCTCCTCCTCCTCTCCCCTCCTTCCTCCTCCTCCTCCTCCCCCCCTCCTCCCCCTCCTCCCCCTCCTCCCCCTCCTCCTCCGCCTCCTCCGCCTCCTTCGCCTCTTTTCGGGGATGGACAGACCTCCCTTTAGTAAAACGTGGTTTCGTGAAAACGACCCGAGGCCCAAACCTGGCGGGCGCAGGCCTGGAAAACCACGGCCACGGCGCCCTCTCGAGAACCGGAGACGGACAATTCACTGATCGACGTGTCACTGCTGGGGGTTCTGTCCACCCCCGAACCTTGCAATGGGGGAGGGGAGAATGGCATAAACAGAGCAGCTCGGAGGCCCGCGCGGACTTCTCGGAGCGGCGCTGGACCCCACTCCCTGGCGCGCGGGTCGCCGTGCCCCGCACTGGGCTGGCCCAGGGCCACGGCCGATGCTGGTGCATCGAGCCGAATCGACTCGAATCGGAATCGCTGGCCTGGGCGGCATCGGTTCGCATCGAATCGGATCGAATCGGATATCTCGAATTGGATCAAATCGGAATCGAATCGGCTCGAGTCGGGTCGTGGGCGGCCCTGCCTTGGGGTCCGCCGTGAGCACCCGCCGCAGCATCTCTGGGGTGATGCCGTAGCTCCCCAGGTTAGCGTCCGAGATCACGAACACCAAGTAGTCGTCTGCTTCCTCAGCCGAGAATTTACAAGACAACCGCCAGCAAACCAGACTTCAGTGAGAGCTTCTAGGGGCACTCCATGTGCGCACGGCATCGGCGGCATAGAAAACCGGAGGCCAAAACGAAACGAATGTACCCAGCAGAACACACGTCGACTAGCAAAACCGGCTGGGGACTGCACAAATACACTCGCATTCCATCATCATATCGAGTGAACCGGGGCAGATTTCCTCAGTCGATCTTTCTGGGTGGGCTCTTTGTCAACGCCCGACTCAGAGAGAGGTGAAGACAAAGCGGGACAAGCATCAACTTCCGAAGGTCCGCGGGATTTTTGAGATAGGTACTGGACCTCGGAGGTCGCTGGGGTGGCAGCGTTGTTTCGAGGGCTGGATCCTAATAAACTCGGACGGTGCGCTTGACCCGTCAACAGCAGTCCTTACGACCCCCATGGAAGCTCAGTGCTTAGATTTGCTCGTACCGCCGATTGGGCTGCCTAGGTTAGCCCGTACCCTACGAGTATTTCCCCCCTCGTCCGTCGCCCCAGAAACGCAGATCGCATTCCCAGACCCCGACCTCACGATTTGTTTCATAACGTCGACCCCCAGAGGTATCGACACATTCCCCAGGAACGGTTTCTCATCCTGAGTCGTTTACTGTCGGTTCTGAGGCTTCCAGAAGCCGAAAATGACGAAACACCTTCTTTCGTTTTTTGGTTCATGACTCGAGGGGATCTGGGTTCGCTGTACATCAGCAAGCTTCAAGGGACGAGCATCAACTTCCAGAGGTCCGCGCGGACTCCTGAGATGGGTGCTGGACCCCCTTGGGGCGCCCCTGGCACCGGCCGCCCCTTCGCTGCGCCTCGCGCGCCATAAGGCGGGGGGCCCCGCGCCGTTCCGAGATGCCCGGCCGAACCTCCGACTGGTGGGCTTGTTTTCCACCACCAGCACAAGTAGGAGGGGGAGGGGGTCCTCCTCCTTCTACTCCTCTTCGTCCTCCTCCTCATCCTCCACCTCCTTCCCCCTCCAACTTATGGTGGCGGTGGTGGAAAACAAGCCCATGACCCGACGGCTTTCTGTTTACATTCGGGCTGCTGAGATACACTCGAAACAGACACAGGGATCCCGCAAAGGATGCACGCGCCCAACCACGTACATGAACACGGCCTCCGAGTCCGCGAGGCGTGTTACGAATGTTCGCGCAACGCGTCCTCCCGAAGCCTGCGTGGATTCATGTACGTGTGCATCCTCCACTCGCTCCTGATGATAGTAAAGATGCGCGATAAGGGTGCAAGCGCCTTGGAAGCCGCTGGCGAACCTTGTCGATCGAGGCGCGGCCAACGAAAGTGGCCAGGGATGAGCTGAAGGGAAAGGATGCAAGTGACACCTCGGAAAATCGCTCATCCTGACTATCTGCGTTGCCTGTGTACAGTCGGGCTGCTGAAATACGGAACGCCAAATAAGGAACGAAGTCCCTTTTTGGCCCCAAGAGCGCCTGCGTCGACGAGGAGCGCTAGAGAAGCAGCCACGTAGGGACCAAAGGAACATCGAGCCCCTTTCCGAACCCAGACTTGTCCATGGTTCAGCGTCTTGGCTGCCTGCCTTTGTTTGCTCTTCGGCTCCTGCGAGGCGACCTTCTTCACCGCCGCCTCTATCGCCTCGACCGTCGAGTCGCCGCTCGCCGCGATGGCGCTGGCGCTGACCATCTGCGACACGACGTGTGCGCGCTGCGCTCGCCCCTGGGGTACCTGGCCGAAATCGACGAAAGAGATGTCGTGGCCGTTGCCGCTGTGCCCCACGAGGTTCCAGTGGTACCTGTGCTCGAAGCCCTCGAGGCTCTCCTCGGATCGGGGAGACGTAAGACTCGGGTACGGGGGACTCGGGTTGGCCCGACGGGGCCCATCATAAAAATGACGAGGCCCAATCTGAAATTTGACGCGAGCTCCCGCTGCAGACATCCCACGAAAACCGGACCGTCAAAATCCAGGACGCGCTCGTCAAAAAAAACGTCGGCAAACCCGAGTTCCGATTTGCTCGGGTCTTGCGCTCCCCCGATCGGAGGAAGGCGTGCCGATACCGCTGCCCTGGCCTCGTCTGCCCCCTTCCTGGCCTCGTGGAAGGCCCTCGCCGCCGCCGCGGGATTCGCCTCGGGATCCGAGTCAGAACGCACACCGGGAGAGGTCCGCGGAGGAGCGGTGTGGGTACCTTCCTTTTTTCCCGTCTCCATCACCATGGCCGTCGCCTGTCGATGGTACGCAGAACGCGTCTCAACGCCAACGCGTGCTCGTCCGGCTGAGCAGGCCGTTCCACACGACTCGGGCGGGCCGAGGCAGTCTGCACGCTATCGGTGGAGCTGAGCGGGACGAGCACACATTGAGGTAACACGCGTCCCGAGGATCAT